TTCCATCTCTCTCCCATGAACCGCCATCCCTTCCATCCCTCGTCGCCCACCCACCCCTAAACACCCGACTGTTACGGATTTTCCGAGAGGTGCTCTCTTCGACGCTCTTGCGTGAATCTTGAGCGAGATTATTGCGACCGTAAATTTATGATGATCGACATTCGATTCAAAACGAGAAACGTAAATGTTCGTTGCATTATGTGAATTACTGCTAAGATGGGAGCTGGAGTATGCACAGCCTCCCGACGTCTGCTTTGTAAAAATAAATTGAAATCTATCTATTATCATCAGGACTCTCTCTCTCTCTCTCTCTCTCTCTCTCTCTCTCTCTCTCTTTTCACGGTCTACGATATATATTAATATTAATAAAAATTATCAAATGCGTTCCAAGTTAATTATAAGAATTGGAATTCAAGCAGAAAAGAGTATATTAATAATTTTTAAAAAATCTGAAATTTTTCATGTGTCGATAAAATAATTCAGAATAATAATATAATGCAAAATGAATTTTTATTAAATTAATTAATACCTAAAATTAATAATTTAATAAATTTTGATTCAAAGATTTTTCATTTGGTTCCTTTAAATAATGCAAAGGTAAGCCGTAAAAAGTTAAGAATAGTCGCGAGACAGGAGTATGTCGACTGTCTCTGCTGTAGTCCTGTAAATAAAAAATCGTGGTTGTTTACGATTTCTCGTCTTGCATCATAATGTCGGGGGGCACGAAATTATCGACTAAAAGACAACGTAAAGTTTTCGCAGTTCATCGAGGAAACTTAATGATACAGCTACGTTAATTCGAGACGCCGGAGTAGTCGACGGCGTTTCGAGCACCCTGTAACTTAGAATTACGAATTAACGATCCATATATACGCGGTGATATGTTGATCGCCGGAGGCGGCGGCGAGCCTCCAACAGATTTTAGAAACATCGTTGAGAGGTAGAGACTCGGAAGACCTCTCGGATTCCTCGGTCAGATTTTACTCCCCCGTTCTCCTGCCCGACTTTTCGAAAGTCGCTCTCACCTTTTAATCCCCTACCAAACGTATTGTAGACTTAACATGCTACGTGTACTACGAGATTATCACACAAAGTTTGCTCACTCGGTGTCAACAATCAGTTTCTTTTTTCTTTTTTCTCTTCTTTTGGCTTACGCACGCGATCTCACATAGAAACATATTTTACGCTCTAAATCCCATGCTCTCCGTCTTTCTCCCACATCGTTTACAGATTCTCACTCTCTCTTTCCCTTGCGCTCTCTCTCTCTCTTTCTCTCTCTCTCTCTCTCTCTCTCTCTCTCTCATTCTTACATTCAGTCGTTCTCCCGGGTTCGCTCCTCCACTTCGTTCCTATCGCGCGCGCGAAAATTCGAAAGACGCGATTTCCGCCTCGCTAAAACGTCACAGGGGAGATAATGTATTTTCTGTCCCCCCTTTATCTTCCCCCTTTTTTTCTCTCTGTATACTACCGCGCCACTATCGTAATCGCGCACTCGCCATAATAAATATACCCTAATTATGCTCCTAATAGTTTGAGGAATTATTATTCTCATTGAATTCGCTTTGAATTCCCACTCTGCCTCCTTCGCTTTCTCTCTGGTATCTCTTTCGCTCTCTCCCATTCTCACTGATTTCTCTTGTTATCACGGCTTAATCTCAAACTCGATAGTAATGATCGTAATAATAATAATATAATCATATAATAATAATTAGTTTATTAGTGTGTGTTTTTTTTTTTAAAGTAGGTATCCTCTTCCTCTGCAGCGTGATACGACCTTCCGCTCGTCTTTTTATCTTTAGTTAATCGTTTATATAATAATTAATAGCTTGCAAGTGTTAACGTTAAATACTATTACTTACTTCTGCTTACGTGTCCTTAAAACTTACGCGTTTAGGTATGTACGTATGCTTATTATTTCTTCCATTCTCTCTCGTATTTCGTTCTCGTTTAATTTCGTTCCGTCCCGTGTACTCGTTTCTCCGTGCGTCGGCCCCGCTGCATAAATGTAGTATAAACGGCGAGTCGATAGACTTTCTATATATTTAATTTTTTTTTTTTTTTTCGTAGGTGAACGACTTTAAACCTTTCGTCTTCGTTCTTTAGGAATGCGTGTCTCTTCGTCACTACATTCTTCTAGTACATCTCGTCGATCTCGCCGTCTGCCCTTCTTACGTTCGTTCCATTCTCATTGTACGCGCATCCGCGTAAAAATCGTTGCGAATTTGCCCCTTTCTTCGCGCTTGTGCTGTTCATCGCCAGTTCCGTCCCACGATCTATGTCGCGTCGGTAGATCGAGACCAGTAGCATCGATCGGGAGGTAAAGAGCGCGGCTGATTCTCCCATCTCGATAAGAGAAATTTCGGCGATCGCGATGAACCACCAATTGCTATTCGTTACCATTGTTCAGATACTTTTTCTTTTCTGAGTCTCGAGTCTCTTCGTACGGCTCGAGTACGTCTGCTATAATATTTATAAAGAACGATTTGTCCTTCGCGCTAGGAGCTTCGATTCTCGGTCGACGGAGAAATGAAAGAAGCGAACTCTTATTCTTACATTTTGAATTTGTAATAGATGGCCTCGAAGGATCATGCGAGAGTTATATGTGTGTCATAATAATTCCTAATTCTCAGACTTTTGCGAATAAGCGACCATACGGAAATTCCTCTGATGTTTCAGCTTATTCCCCTGACAAAGGCGACTGGGGAAATTGGCCTTGAAGATTATTACGCTTGTCAATTTTTTGCTTGCAACTTTCCCAAGTTTGTGGTCATATTTCAGTAGCGAAGAATGTACGGAGTCGAAATGGTGTCAAATAATTAATTTAATTCATTATGATACGTACATATGTGATTGACGGTTTCTTTGAAAATAATTCTCGCGAAAGTAAGGAAGATTAAATCTTGCGATATTGAATTCCATTGTAGCACGGTTACGATTTAGAGAACGTTGTTTTAATGTTGCAATGTTGATAGTTACTATTTTTTTTTAAGTACGGATAATGTTTGAAAGAGCGGAATGATCATTTACAGTATGATGAAATGGTTGTAGACATATTTCACAATTGTGTGATTGCCGCTGAAGGTACGAAAATTATTTCTCGTATATCCAGTGCAATCGAAGAAAAGAGAATGAGAACGATAGTTAATATCGACTTGTGTCTTGTTGGTTAATATTGAAGTAGCGTATTCTATGTGACAAGATTGTATTTAATGCTGAGATCTATCATCAAAAATTACGTAACGTTGTATTGCTATCAGTGATTAACTGAGATTACTATTGACGCGTATCGACGTGAAAGCGCAAAGCTTTTAGGATCGAGATACGATGCGAGAAATACATTCGATATTCGCAGGGACTATTAAATTAGATTTTAAGTGTTGTCTTTACGTTTAATCTGGATATATTATATTGGAATGTATTATATGTTGATTTGTTTTCTGTTAGTGAAAAACCAATCATTATATATGCAAAACATTAATATTATAATTTAATTCCGAGTATTACCTTTTACAATTCTTCGTGTACCATTAAATTAAAGTTCTTAATGACCTTTTAATGTATCATGACACATGGCAACAAAAAGTATAGGATATATTTGATTGAAATAATCTCAATAATGCAATCAGAAGTTAATTATAAAAGCGAATAAAAAAAGTGTAATTACAAGTTTTATCAATTGGGCATATTACAAATTACAAATTAATTTCTCCGAAAATGTTCTTTGAAAATTTAAATTTAAAAAAATTTAATTTAAATATAATAATAACCTAACTTTTCAAAAAATAATCTTTTACCTGCACCTATTGCCTCGACACGATTGTTAAGTTACCCCAAGATTGCGACAAGCGAGTCATCGAGTTCAGATAACGCGTATCCGATAATGCTCTTTTAAAAAATATCCAAATGTCTCTCTCATTTCCCCTTTATTCATTCGCTATTCTATTCTTCTCTCTCATTATAAATGTTTAGACCAAAATCTTAGGCCAGTGCCGAAGGAGTTGCTACTAGTTTTAGGCCAAAGTCTAGTACGTATGATGTAATAAAAGTTGAAATTTTCAAAATTTCGTTTTTACTTCGACCATTTCACAACGCATGTTCAAATTTGGATGAAAAAGATTACTCGCCTCCATTCTCGTTAATCTCGCCGATCGCAAATTCACATGGGTGCTACATTCGAGTCTTTCCACATCTTCCTACGAAAAAAAGTTACATGGCAGGTAATCAAGAATGTTCCGAATCTGTCAAATCAAGACCACTTTTTCCTTTTTTGCCTTTTCCCATATATATAAATATAATAGTTTCGGATTCTCTCTAAATGTAGGAAAGGGTATCAGTTAATGTAGAAATAAAAGTGAAATGACGCAAAATCAAACGCAAATAAAATTTCAATTCATTTTCTCTTTTTATTGTCGTAATTAATAAATAAAATAATAATCAATAAATCGACCATTAATCAATTAAAAAATAGTGACTCGTGACTAGGTTAAGACTCACCGCTTGCAAAAAGATGTGTGTGTACGTGTTTTTTTTGTGTGTACAGCCCGGTACAAACTACTGAGGGGCATAATTTTAATATAATTATTATCATAATATAACTAAATATACATAATAACTAAAAATAGAGCGTAATGTCAAGCACAAAATAAATAAGCTTGACAAAGAGAACGGCAAAGTAGTGAAGGAAGGGAATTCATAAAAATAAGATGAAGATAAAAATTAGTAGTATGAAAGAGCGGCGTGGAAATTGCATATGAAGAAGTAAGGCAAGGTTAATTAAAAATTAACTAAATGTTTCGCAAATGACAATTTCAACGATGACAATAATAATATTAATAATTATAATAATTTCATATTAAAATTGTCATATTGATATAGATAATAGTGAGTCTAATAATAATAATATAATAATATATTAATAATAATATAATAATAATACAATAATAATAGCAATATATAATAATGATAATAATAATAATAGTAATAATAATAATAGTGCACGTAGTAGCGAGAATAATGGTGAAAAAATATGAGTTAAATTATGTGCATTCGCTACTACTTGAGTTATCCCTAATATTTTTATACCGTCTTGTAATTATCTACAGAAAGTTCTAGCGAAAAAAAATAAGGTCACAAGTAAGAGTATAAGGGCGCCGTCCTTGATTTCTCGCATGTTCGCGCGCGTGATCGCATGATGGTGCAGGTGAAATACATGTAAGTGACGTGCGTGTCGCGTGTCCGTAAGTCTGTATGTAAGATGGGTCGGGGATTAAAATATAAACGAAGAAAAGGAAGCGCGGTTATATGCAACCCTCTGGCGCACGTTTTCTTTACGCTACTTAAATCACGCCAATATATCCATCTCTTTTTCGCTTTAAAAGTCTAATATTTATATAATTATCGCATCGGCGCACGATTATATAGCACTCTTTTAGCTTTCTTTTCTTTTCTTTTTTTTTTTTTTTTGGACTTGCAACACTACAGTTTGAATGCTGCCGGCGCACGATTCTCATACATTGCATCCGACCTGCAACTTCGTCGCCCGTACTCTATTCCTAATCTCGTCACTACGACTAGCCTAATCTCGTTTATACAATCAACCATTAATAAAAACAGCTATATATATTGACCCGTGCACCGATCCTCTCAATGCAATATGTGCATTTTCGACAAACGTACTCTTTATCGACTCGACAAGTAATGTTTAGCGAGCGAAAAAAAAAAAAGAAAAAATACGGGAAAACGGAGGAATCTCTTCCTCGGCAGATAGGAACAGGTTATTTGTGCGGAAATTGCTATGAGCGGTCGCTCAATTATTTATATGACGTTACGCATTTGATTCTCGTGAAGTCGATTCTTTGGTATCGATGTGTGCACGATCGCGTTTCATCGCGCCGTTTCTTATATGATTTTCTCACACGGTGTAATTTAATAGCCAAGCATTTTCACGTCGATCTCGAACCTCGTTGATCAGTTATATGCTGTAAAACGAAATTATCTATAATACAAGGAAAGATTGGTATATATTTTGATAACGGATAGCATCGAAGTGAACCTCGTACGTTTAAATATTCGGAGATTTTACTTTTCCTGGGGGGGGGGGGGGGGAAAAAAAAAAAGAAAAAAGCATGTGTATGCAGCAAAAATGCCTTCTTATCGAAGTATGAATAGCCATTACGGTGTTCATTCGGCGATAAGAAGTTTTTTCAGAATTTTATTTCAGAGAGTATCGATTTTCGCAAAACCGAAGTTACTTGCAGAGTTCAAAATAGGATTATCCGAAATAGTCTTAGCGCAAGGGGGTTTTCTCCTCATCCATAAATATTTCTCTACAGAAACGATGCAGGATAAGAAGCTGCTCGTCCTGCATTGCTTCTGGTCGACGAAGATTCCGCTTCCAGGTCTTGCTCGAACCAGAAGAGGAATCGCCGTGCGATGTTCAGACTTAGTCAATCTTTGGATATGCTCGCAAACGTTTGAAAAGTTTTCATTTTTCCCTGTGAGTATAACCCCAGCAGTGTCATCGTCTTTAAATCCCTATTCTTATCGTGTGATGTAAAATTAGGCGGTAACGAGATAATTACTCTACGTTACAAACAGATCGGACAAAATCGACGCTAAAAGCTATTCTCGCCATTCGTTGACCACGCATTCGTCGTGCTTCTTCGTCTCGTCCCAGGAATCACCTTCTCGTGCTCGTTCAGTTGAAACAAGAGGAACGTCGATGAGCGTTCGACACTTTGGCGACTGTCGAGTTTCGTCAGCCGTAGATTCGCAGTATTTTTTAAATGGACGTATGTCTATGTATGTGTGTGTTCGTGTGCACATGTATATGCGTACGTTTCTTCTGTCTTTCCTGTTTGATTCAGTCACAGCCTGATCCTTCGTTGGCATCTTGACGTCGACCACGGACGCCGATGGTGCCTCTGTTCCTTGGCTTCGTCTCCGTGTCTCCTCTCCCTTCCTAGCCCTCGTTCGTTTTTGCGATATGTTATTTAAGGATACCTGAACACGCACTACGTGAAGGACGTGTACCTCCTGGCGGATGCAATCCTCCCTCGTTGGTCGTTCCTGATTATCGGGAGCCGACGAGCGCGGGCGAGCCCGCGCACCACGAAGAGCAAGAGCCACGCGACCTCCTGATTCATTCGAGCTGCTCCAGGAAGTTCGGGCTCTTGAAGTACTCCGGCACTGGATCGTCCAACCTCGAAATCACCTTGTAGATGGACTTCTTCCAGCTTTGCTCGGAATCCTTGCCGCCCTGAATCGCCTTGAAAAACTCTTTCAACGTCTGTTCCACAACGTACCTAAAGTTGCTGGGTACCTGAAAATTCCACGCCACTGTTAGCACTCGCAGTTACAGATAGCAAAGTACATATTGGTTTTACGATCCAAATATTTTTATAACAAGAAACATCACTGTGAATGTCACAACGTATAATATTCTGCATAATGCAATTTTATGAAAAATGTAATCCTTCTTGAAATTTTTGACATATACTTTTTATCTTTGACTCGTTTTTCTCCAAATTATTCATCTTTCTCATATAAATACGAGAAAAAGAATCATATATTGTATAATATTATATAATTTATTAAAATAATACTAAATTAACTATTAATTGAAGGGCTGCAATAGAAATATTATGTGCAATTGAAAAATCTGAGAAAAGTAATGTAAATTAATTTTTTTCAACGTCAAGATTGATTCATTTTAATTTGTTAAAAGAAATATTAAATATCTAACATATCATGTGCATTGAACCTTTCAACTAATAGTGTTATAAGTATAGAATTTCATTTCATTATTAATCAGGCAATAAATATCTTGAGCATATACTTTTTACGATAAAACGTGCAAACACAATTCAATAGTTACAGTGAACCACAAAGTGACGCACGTGAAATATTTTATGTAAACGTACGATAGATACTAACACCGAAAGCTTAATTTTATAAAACCAATTGATCAATAATCCGACGTCTGATCTCTATGTAGCGAAGATATATACATGCTCGTCTTTTCTCGCGATTTGCGAAATAATATCGGTAGAAAAATAAAATAAAATGTAGCGTGTGCGTGTTCGTGTTGCGCACCTGGGGACCCCATACCTCAATGTGGTTATTACGGTTGTAGTGAAGGTTGAGAACCCGGTAGATTTCGGAGTCGCCACCGACTCGGAGATCCTCGGCGTTCTTCACGCCCTCCGAAACTGCTTGTCTCGCGTATTTCTCCATTTGGATATAGTAGAACTCCCTGAAACAAAATTTTTAAAAGACACCCTATTAGACAACGTTAGATTGCCTCGTTATTCCGCAGAAATGCGTATAAAATTTTAATGCAATTTAAATATTTATATATATAATACGATTTGGCTTTGGATAATGGATTAATACGAGTTTTTAATATAAGAATGGCCCGATGTGCGAGGTTGTCAATTAATAATAAATCTTTCTACGTCATCGCGGTTGATTCTTGTCTCGCCTGGTTTCTCCGCGACAGACAGTAACAACGCTAATGCGTCATCGATAATTAATTAAAGATCGATGCTAACATTGGTCTGACGTAAGCGGAAGAAGATGAAAAAAGAAGGAAGGGGACGGCGCATATGGAGAGCTCTATGGAAAGCTCTCCTCGACGTTAAGCGGACAGACGCAAAGAAACGATGAAAAACCTATCGCGTCAACCACACTAAAGACACGATGCTCTCGCAATTCTAGCCAGTGACATATAATCAACGCAAAATTACGCAATCTTCTTTCGTTCGGTCTGTGGCAGGAAAAATCGCTCGTTTCGAAGTTACCTTTACGTTCATTAATTAATGCGTAACAACAAACGTGACTCGTTAATTGATGTATAATTGATACAGGAACGGCGATCCGAGCTTTCGAAAGGGAAATAAACGCGAAGGGTAGCCCTCCTTGCGAACATCGCGCGTGGAAGGAGAAGAAAAATATAAAAAATACGAACGCGCACTGTATGCGCCGAGGAAAATTATTAATACCAAGTTTCAGATCTTTTTTTTTTTCGCAGATATTTAGCGTCGTTTTGAATTTCGTTTGTAAGCTTTCAAAACGTTTTCGTTAAATTCGAGTTTGCAATTGCGTTGCTTTTTGTAATATTTTTAATATACCTTATTCATTATAAATGCGGTTAGAAAAGTGCATAGTCTAAGTTTCTTAAAACGCGATCTATGTTAACGATTTTTTATGCTTCCTTATTGTGATTCTTTGCTTCTATAATAATAATAAATAAAATTCATCTTCAGATATTAGCATCAGTCATCGAGTATTTTTGTAGAATCAGTAGCGCTAGTTGTTGGTTGGATCCCTCGGGGATGCAAAAGTGAAACGGTTCAACGAGAAAGCGTAATTTGTATAAATCATCATCGTTGAACTACTCGACAATATAGAGCTGCAAATGTTCGCTTAGTGTTCGTTGAAAGTAATTTTTAAGATTGCTTTTGCCTGGTGAATTGAAACCTTATTTGCTAGAGAAAATAGCAACAAATAGAACAATAGGATGTGTAACGATGATTAGTAGAATATTTTTCAACTATGTCAAGCCATTCAAATTTTCGTGCTTGCTCGTGAAATCATGACCGGTCTATTTTCATACCAAGATGGATATCATTTTTTATTCGCCATGCTTGGAGATTGGGGAAGGTCAGGAACCTTTCTCCTGTCGAAGAAAACAACGCGTTCTTCCGGAACGTTCACTCTATTCAAAGCCGCTGAAAGAAAGATACGGCACGGTATAGATGAGCGGAGAGATGAGAAGAGGATTCTCTTCGTCCGATCATTCCCGAATTGGTTTTACTGCCAATTAAGATAATTTCGCGTGCTCTTATCAGCAGTCAGTCGGAGAAAGTTACATGCGCGAGAAGAATCGGAAGAGGAGTTCCTCCATCATCCCTTCTCGCATACCGTCCCTCTTCACCTCCTCGAGCCATCACCGACACCACCCATCGGCAAGCCACCCCGACTTTGCCCTGTGCATGTGTTACCTGCGTCTATAATCCTTACTCAACCACCCATCGACCGCATTCAAGCTCGTCGGATCGCCAAGTATAGGCGGAATGTGGCGGAGGTAGTGGTAGACTGCGTCGCTTACGTATCTACGTTAACGTTGTATATCCTGGCGCATACGCGATATACTTATATACGTGCGACACACGTATCTGCGAAGTGCCTAATTAAAACAGACACCCGTGGAGACATAGAGAGAGAGAGAGAGAGAGAGAGAGAGAGAGAGCAGGACGAGAGAGACGAGACTGGCCGCATAATGGGGTGCGCGAGGGCGTGAGGGAAACGACGTTAGTTCCGTAGTCTGTTTGACAAAAAGCCCGAGTGCTAGAATTGCCACTCTTCGACTACCAAGTGCAGAGGATAAGAGCAACAGAGGTGAGCGACAGAGAAATCTGGTAAGAGGGAACGATAGGGAGACGGATGGTGTGGATGACGGGGGAGGGCAAGTAAGCGAACGAGTGCGTATGCTGGAGGGTGAATGCCGCGGGATCATTCATTATAGTATTGTATAATTAGGATAATAATAAGCTCTCTTCAGGGTTTTCGCGCACTCCATTACGGTGGGGCGATTCTCAAGCGAAAAAGAAAACGAGAGAGTGACGAGGAGAAATAGCAGAAGAGAAAATATCGATAAGAAGAGAAAGGAAGAAGGCATTAATCTTTGTAAAGGCGTTAATTATTAGTGTTTAATTGCGATTAACGCTTCAACGGCCAAAAAGATGCTCCCACGAGGAGCATGTGGATATCGCTTCTACGACATTCCAGATTCATCGAAAGAAACATTTTCATTTCTCTTATTTTCTCTCGCTCTCTTTCTCTTTTCTGCCTCTTTTATCTTGTTGTTTCATTTTTTCATTTATTGAAATAATTTAAACTAATTTAAAGCAAGCTGTATTCACAACATTTGAGATTCATTTATTATATATTTATATTCAAAAATGTTTTTAGATATTTTATCTGAAATTTCTGAGATATGATATTTAATTGAATAAGCGTACTTCACTCTTACGTTTTTAAATGTATTTTATCTTAAATGTGAGAGAGAAAGAGAAGGTGAGACAGGAAAACGGACATGGAGGTGTCACGTAGTATTGAGGCAGTTAATGGTAACAGCGTTTGTCGACGCGATGCCTCCTTCAACCACGATCTTCATCGTTGTCAGTTGCTTTTTCAACCCGCCGCTTTTATGATGCGTTGCTCCACGCATATGCGAGAAAGCACCAATTAAAAGGGGTACTCCCGACCACTCGAAAGTTTGCTTTTTTACAACCGCATCATTCCGTAGTCATTCGGTCTATTTGCGATAAAGAGTATAATATACGGGTCAATGTATTGATGGAAAAAAAAAAATTAAATTAGAAACACGTCAATAATTCTCACGATATATTTTAGAAAATATATAGTGAAACTTATTTCTTTTCAGATGAAAAGAATCGATGAATTAAAAAGCATTACGTTCGTTATAGATTGAGCGAAAAATTTTGCTAGAAATATAATACAGAGACTGCTTGGCCATAAAGCACAGTCATATTTTATTGCAAAAGAGATATTTTTTTTTTTTCAACAAAATGCTGAAATCCGAACGTTGCACTGCAAATTTGAAAATTAAATCTCTATTTTTCAAAATCTTCTAAATGTCAAAGATGAAACGGATGGAAAAACAAGAGATATATATATTTTATTATATTCTAAGGGAGAACTAAGTGAGAACAGGATTTGCATCATCGCGACTTTAAGAAATGGGGCGGGCAAGGACGCGGCGAGAAGTCGTACGCCTTCTGACGGTTTGCAATATACATTGCGGCGAGCGTCTTCTCGCCTTACAATCTCCCTCTTTTCGATCTCTATTCAAGGAACGTGCTTCTTAAGCCACCGAACCAGCCAGCCAAGCCCCCTTTAACGGTTACAACCAAGTCGGTAGACCTTCGACAATAGCGAGCGCCGCAGCCCTCGAAGACGCGACTTGACGCCGAACGTTTGAATCCCTCACGGTTGATGAACCATCACGGTTTTCTTGGCGAAACTTTCCCACGGCATATTCCCCCTTACAAACGCTGGAAGAAACTTACGAGCCCATTCGCTCTATTGGCAAAAATCCGCAAAGGGAAGACTCTAAAAGACTCTAAAAGACCCCTTTTCCATACGACTCTCAACGATCTATAATTTCTAATACAATCTGTAAAGCGGCACCTTATCCAGCAGTTGCCTTGAATATTATTAATAAATATGTCAGTCTCAACGCGTCGTACATGTACGATTATTTTGCTGCGTGTAACTGACGTTGTCAGCTGATAAAGTAATCGTTGTGGCCGTAACCACATCGCCGGCTGCAAGCAGCGGAAGAAGCCGTTAAAGAATTCGAGAGAGGAACTACCGTCGTGGCGTCGTCTACCGGCGTTCACGCTCTACTTTATCGCCGCGACGCGACGCGAGACAGGAGGTCACGAGGCGTGAAAGTGCGTGTAACGAGAGGGCATTAAGCGTCCGCGCGTTAGAATTCGCGCGCGAGCGCGTCCATGCGCGGGTGGTCGCGCGTGGTAGATGCGTGTCGCGTCTTCTCGCTCTCGTGCCGTGCGTCGATGAGCCTGGATGAGCGGATGGATGAGCGACTACGCGCGTTTGCCCGCTGGGGCGTAAGCGTCCATTCAGAGGGCGCGTTCAAAAAGGTGTCGCACAGGGTGTCTTGATGTTGCGCCGCGCCGCGCCGCGCCGCGCCGCTCGCGTGCACCCTTCTTAATTAGTAATTAACACTTTAATGCTGTCTGCACTCTCAAACCCCGCGCCCGCGCCGGTCTTGGCTTTAAAGCCTTCGTCGATGTTCAGGGGAAGAGCACGTCACGGAAAACACGTCGTGCAAACTAAAACGTAAGTCGACAAGTGATTATCACTTACTTAATTAGGCTCAGTTCCACAACTCACTCGGTTAACTCTTAACCGAGGTTCAACTTATTCATTGTCTCTCTTTCCAATTCTGGAATTCGAAAGAGATGAGAAGCAAGCTGAGCCTCGATTAAGAATTAACCGTGAGTTGTGAAAGTGGACGTACAATCGTCGTTTTTCGCGACGAACGCGATGCAGAGTTTTAAGGATCGTCAAATACATCGATCGCTGCGCCAAAGCTATCCCGCATCGTTTTCCAAACAATGGCACTTAACATGTTTGATGATGATCGGACGATTAGTGAAAATTGCTTACGGTAAATCACTTCGTTGCGATCGCTAGTGTGCG